CGAACGCAACACACGCGAACCGAACCGAGACAGTCGAACCGAAATATTTAGAGAACATGAAACAAATGTGCAAAACAGCCCAGGTGTAAACATGTTGGGGATAATATTGGTTATAAAGTCAAACTGCTGCTCAGGAGATGGATCTAAGATAATACCTCTTTGGGCTCCTAGTGAGCTGAAAGAGCTGTGCAGCAGCCACTGTGATTGTGACCTTTGGGCACATGAAAAGTGCAATAACAATGTTAGTTGATCTTTTGTGCGGCTCTAATTTTCCTTTCCAACATGGTGATGCAGCAGATGATCAGATTGGAGGCATGCCTCCCTCCTGCAGACACAGATTTAGACCTAGTGCTTTTATAAAACAGAATTTTAACCACCACTCAGCTTAGATCCAAAAACACTCCAAAAACATTGCCTCCGAAAATACAATCCAAGGTAAAATAAAATAAGATACAAAAAAAGAAAAAAAAAACTAGCAAAAGAAGCAGGTCTGTTTCTCTAAAGCAGGGCAAAGGAAATTTATTTTCAGAAATTTTGCAAAAATGTCTGTACGTCTCTGGACAAACCCGCGAATCAGATTAAAATTCAAACCTAATTCATCACATAAACCAGGAATTGTTGCAGAAACATAATATAACTACAAGTTTGACCCCAAACCTTGAAGACTCAATTCAAACATGTTTACAACGGTAAAGTCAGATGAACAGACCGACAAGTTTGGCTATGAAGTTTCGTAGTTAATCTCAGTAACTATTTTTAAACTTTTTTAACCGATGAACTCCTTTGGTTTTCTTGACAACTAAACGCAGCAGATTATCAGCTGTCAATAACTTCAAGGGACTGTATTTTTAGGGGGGAAACCCCACAAAGGACTAAATTTGGCTCTTATATGAATGCAAACTGCACAAAACTACAACAGCAATGGCAATTCAACAATGGGGGATGTCATACATACTGATAAAAGATGTTTTTGTTCTCACTTCAGCGTTGTTATCCTCTTTTACTTGAGCACTTCCTGAAAGCGCTCAGCTGACACTCTATGGTTTAAAGAAATACAAAGGCAGGCGGTTAGCGCCCCGCAGTGGTGAGACAAGGAACTACAATCACACTATCCAAAATGAAGTATTAGTGCTATAATGTGTATTCACTTTAGTGTAAATGAATATAAGGCATCTAAAAAACAAAAGTCAACAAAAAATATATACTTATCCAAATTTAACATGGTAGAAATTATTTAAAAAGTATAAAACGTGTTGAGTTCTGCCTGTCTTGTTGATAATTTTTGCCAAAACTTGTTTTTTCATCATTTAGTGTGGTGACTGGAAGTAGGTTCAGTAGCTAGAATTTTTTAACAGTAATGTTACTTCGAAATTACAAGTAAAAGACAAATAAGTGCGTTAAAACTATAGTTGACAGTACATTTGAAATATTACTTTATTAAATGTAAAGTAGTTAATGCCCTGAGCAAAAGGTGCAATCACATTGAAAGTAGAAACACTAAGAAATAAAACTACAATGAGACAAAATAGAAGAATTAAAAATCCGTAATGAACTAGAACCAAAAATTGTCTGAAAGGGATATCAGAATGGAAAAAAATATTTTATTAACATTTACCCTGGGTACAGTTGTGTAAAAATCCTCCAAAAGATTATAGTTGTAGGCCAACCTCACATTGAAAAAAAAAAATAGTTTCGTTATCAGGCTCTACTATGGAACCAACTTCCAGTTTTAGTCCATGAGGCAGACACTCTGTAAAACAAACTGTCATATTTTCTTTTCCTCCATCACAAAGGTAAATAAGTGAACTTTACAAAAAGTTACAGGTACTTAAACTGAATTTGTGTGTCTTTGTACTGCAAAAATAAAACAGAGATTTTCCATCCAAAAAGGGAGCTTTACAAGTGGGTTTGGAGCAAAACTAAAGGCTTGATCTTTTTAAGAAGATCATCATGTTCTCTTTACAGAATAATGACGGCTGTGATGCTGTGGGCTTGTTTCTCTTCCAACCTGAAGACCCAGTTAGAATGGATTTGATCATGATCTCTGTGAAACTACAGGAACTTTTAATTGAATCTCGTTTTGCCTGAACCTGAAAAGGGAAATTGATGTTCATTAGTGGGTATTTTACCAACATAATCATCCTAAACATGTGGATTCTAAAGATAACCTTTACAGAGAGGAACCTTGTAACTTATACATGAATAAATGCTGTACATACTGATAGCAGGGACAGTATTATTGCAATTTCAGTGTATTTATATATAAAAAAAAATTAGATCAAAGACACTGCAATAAATCTAAATGTATTGCTTGCTTCCTATTGCATTTTACACATCTTTATAAGCTGCACCAAATATTAAGATATACAAGTAGAACAGGTTGCTTAACAAGGAATATTTCCTCTTTACAGAGGATGCCTTCCATGAATGAATCAAAATCTTTGCAGGTTATATATATATATATATATATTTTTTTTTTAGATATGAGTTTCATATGATGCATGAAAATGAATCAACGGCATTGATATGCCAGTATTACATAATACATGTAAGGTGTGTGAGGCTTTTTGTTTTCCTGTATATTTCTGCTTGTCCTGAACAGGAGTCAACAGGAAACAACAGGCAAAAAGAAACATTTACGACAGTTTGTGTTCGGGAGATTACTATTTATGTCAGTTACAACCAGCAGATCTGGTTGTTTTTTATTTAAAGACTGATCAGAACAAAGAGTAAAATCCAATAATTACATACGGACATCAGTGTGGGAGCTGTTTGTTATACAGTACCTTCAAGAAGACAGAGGCTTGTTCTTGTGTGCACAGAAACCCTCTGTATCTCCCTATTTGCTCTTCCCAGGTCGGGGTGTCTGGGACAACAGATCATCTCTTTCCATTAGTGCCCCCTTTTTCACATTTCATGCCATCCTTCAGATCCCACTCTTAAACCTTTATAAAAGCTTGTGTGAGGATCCCCGGACCCAGCTCACCTCATCTAGCCTCGAAAGGCTTTTACTACAATGTTAACACCATCAGACGAGAGCTGCTGAGGGGGAAGCTAGAGGATTCTCGACTTGACAGATATCTTGCNCTCGCCACTCTCACCAGTCCCCAACCTACTTACACCCTCTATCCTGCCTCTCTCCCCCCTCACATTCACTTTGATGCAGCCAACTGAAGTGACTGAAACAGAGTAAGGCCTCTGGACCGGAAGGCTGCTGAGGAACTGTGCTGATGACCTCTGCGAGGTCTTCAGCCACATCTACAACCCAAGCCTCAGCCTGGGGATGTCCCCACTCTCTGGAAGACCTCTTGTGTGGTACCGGTTCCCAAGACGCCCCATGCCAAAGAACTGGCCCACTTTAGACCAGTCACCCTGGCCTCTCCCCTGATGAAGACCATGGATCGCCTCATCCCAGCTCACCTGTGCACCATAGTGAGCCCACCCTGGACCCGCTGCAGTTTGCTTACTGACCTGACATCGGAGAGGAGGATGCCATTATCTACCTGCTGCAGCGGGCGTTCATCAACCCGAAGACCACCGGGAGCGAAGTGAGAGTCATTTTATTTGACTTATCGAGCAATTTCAACACCATCAAACGAGAGCTGCTGAGGGGGAAGCTGGATGATTCCCGACTTGACAGATATCTTGCTGCTTGGACATCAACTACATCCATCAATGCCCTCAGTATGTGCGGCTGCATGGCTGTCAGTCAGAGGTGGCAGTCTGCAGTACCGTGGCCATCAGGTCCTTGGCTTGTGAGCTCCGATTATTGTGCCTGTCCAATATGATGCTCCCTACAGGAGATACTCATCAGAAAGAGAAAACACCATGGAGGGCAGGAACAATGTGTTCCTTTTGGGGTGTCTTAGAATGTGTCTGGGAGAGGGATGTTTGCAAAAGTTATAGAGGAGAGTCCAACAGCAGAGCAAAACTGCATCTTCCTACACCAGTGATGCAGGTCAATATCAGCATGAACATTTGGCCTTGATGTCCAAAATTAATATAATGGTTAATGGCCTAACGAACCTCTTTCTTCAGGTTGTGTCACACAACCTCTGTTGAAATTTTCCCCAAATGCTAGGAGACTTCTGTTTTTCAGTGAAAAATCAGTTGAATGGCTGATGAAAATAAGATTGGTGTCATGCCATCCTTTTCAATCATCTGTTGAAGCGGAGGGGTGTACAAGTTGTTTTGCTATATTAGAACATACCAAAAATAATTGTTAGGATTCTGAGTTGTAACACAATTAAAGTTTAAAACTGTATCATGTTCTTTTTTATGAAAACATGTTTTGATAACAATTGTTTACAAATGTTTATAAATTTCTATTTATATATTCTCCCTATATATTCTTTAGCCACCTCTGTAAATGTTTGCATTGGGGATAACTATTTTATGAATTTGATATAACTGTAAAAACGGGGCACAGAAGACAAAATCCATGCGGGGGATTTAATATAAGGGTATTGTGGAGGATATTTGAGAATTTTTGAAAATACCCGCCCTCTCCACTGTGCATGTGAAAAGGTTCACATGCACAACCCTGTGCCTGCTCCCGAGAGGGAACATCTATTAAAGCTTGCCAGAATATGCACAAGCCCATATCTCCTCATGTATGCTCTGTTTAAAAGTTGCTGTTTGCATTGCTCATACAAGGTTACTTTCCGAAAGAAGATTTGCAATTATTCCAATATGTCTGACTCACCACAGGTAAGTGAAAATGGGGCTGGCCACGTAGGACGGACTTACATATTACAAGAATGAGTGACAACTAGGAGGACCACTTATTTAGATGATCCAGCCGGAAAAAGAAGATACTCCTCTATACCTTTAAAAAATTGGATTTTGATCCTGGTGCAAGGGTAACCACCATTACCATCTGAAAACCAGATTGAAAACTGTAAATACCAGATGTTATAAGGAAGAAACGGAGAGTATGAAAAAAATCCAAATGAGCTCTATTATTTTTTTTCCCCTAATGAC